ACGGCGCCGCCCACGCTCCGGACGACCGACACACCGACACACCACGGACAATGGGAGGCTATCGCGCACGATCGGCCATCGCACCCACCGCAAACACCTCGCCGCACAGATGGGGGGAGGCATAATCCCACACACACCGGAGCAGCGCAGACACCTTACACGTCAGCGCTCGCTCGATGTGGCCGGCGCTCTCCCCTCTCCTATCGCCGTTTCAACGGCGGCGTGCGGCCACGCGCCGCGCCGAGCCGGTCTCGGCGGGAGACCTCGGAGCCGCACGCGATGCGGGCATGCGCGATGGCTCCGTTGGCTCCGTGCCTAAGGCAGATAGATTAGGGTGTGAGCTGCGGCAGCCACCGTTTCTGTACCTCGATCACGTGCAGGCCGTCGGAGGCCGCGCTGGATGGCCCAGGGCCGGCGGCGGTGAAGGCGTCCGTCGATGAAGGGATGTCGTCGAGGGAGCCATCGTCCTACGCGGCTGGTGCACCGGTCCAGTTGTCGGAGTTCGAGATCGCCGTCGACTTGGAGAGTTCGGCCCGTCGACGAACTCACGGAATGTGAGCGACTTGGTGCACGCTGATAGTCGAGCATCATGGCTCGCACCTCATCCTGAGCGCAAGGAACTCGCCCAGGGGCCAGCTGTTGGCGTCGCCGTTTTGATCGAGCTGCATCCACTGCATGGTTTCGTAGTCAAGCGTAAACGCCCAGGAGTTGGCGCCTGGGTGACTTGCTGATGAGAGCGCCTTCCAGGCGGGTAGTCGTGCCCCTCACCTACGGTCATACGGCGGCGTCAGAGGGGGGGAAGGGGCGCGAAGCGTGAACATGGAGGCAAGCAGGTGGTGGCTGCACCTGGCCAAAGCCGGCGACCTCAAAGTTGTCGTAGCTTGTGCGGGTATCGCTGAGCGTGAGAGGGACTGGATCGGCAGCAACGCGGGCGGCAGCGGCCGGAGAGGCCGGAGAGCCGTCCGACGGAGGCCGGTCGTGCATCGGCGCGTCGGCCGTAGGGGCCGGGGGGGCGGCGGCATCCATCGCTGCGGGTCGCTGCGGGCCGACGATTGCTGATCGATCGTCGGGCGGGCGGTGTTCTCGAGTGTTAAATTAGCTGGGACGTTCTACGGTTAAACCAAGAGCGTGTGGGACCTGCGGCGGTACCCGTCTCTGTTGTTCGGGCAGTGAGAGACGCAGGATCTGCACGCCAAAGTGGCGCCACTCCGCATTTGCATTTTGGTTTTGGGTTGTCGGAGATCATCCATCAGCACTCATGTCTCATCAGTCAGTCACGTCAGTCAAAGCAGTCGTGGCACTCATCAGTCAGTCACGGCAGTCAAAGCAGTCGTGGCACGTGGAGCAGTCGCTGCATGCAACGGCGCCGCCACACGCTCCGGACGACCCCGACACACACCGACACACCACGCACAATGGGAGGCTATCGCGCACGATCGGGCATCGCGCCGCAAACAACTCGCCGCACAGATGGGGGGGGGGGGGGGGGAGGCAGAATCCCACACACACCCGAGCAGCACAGACACCTTACACGTCAGCGCTCGCTCGATGTGGCCGGCGCTCTCCCCTCGGTCCTATCTCGCCTTTTCAACGGCGGCGTGCGGCCACGCGCCGCGCCGAGCCGGTCTCGGCGGGAGACCTCGGAGCCGCACGCGATGCGGGCATGCGCGATGGCTCCGTTGGCTCCGTGCCTAAGGCAGATCGATTAGGGTGTGAGCTGCGGCAGCCACCGTTTCTGTACCCGCTCGATCACGTGCAGGCCGTCGGAGGCCGCGCTGGATGGCCCAGGGCCGGCGGCGGTGAAGGCGTCCGTCGATGAAGGGATGTCGTCGAGGGAGCCATCGTCCTCCGCGGCTGGTGCACCGGTCCAGTTGTCGGAGTTCGAGATCGCAGTCGACTTGGAGAGTGTGTTCGGCCCTTGACGAACTCACGGAATGTGAGCGACTTGGTGCACGCTGGGTCGAGCATCATGACTCGCACCTCATCCTGGGCGAGTTAACTCGCCCAGGGACCAGCTGTTGGCGTCGCCGTTTTGATCGAGCTGCATCCACTGCATGGTTTCGTAGTCAAGCGTAAACGCCCAGGAGTTGGTGCCTGGGTGACTTGCTGATGAGAGCGCCTTCCAGGCGGGTAGTCGTGCCCCTCACCTACGGTCATACGGCGGCGTCAGAGGGGGGGAAGGGGCGCGAAGCGTGAACATGGAGGCAAGCAGGTGGTGGCTGCACCTGGCCAAAGCCGGCGACCTCAAAGTTGTCGTAGCTTGTGCGGATATCGCTGAGCGTGAGAGGGACCGGATCGGCAGCAGCATGGGCGGCCGCGTCAGCGGCCGGAGAGGCCGGAGAGCCATCCGACGGAGGCCGGTCGTGCATCGGCGCGTCAGCCGCAGGGGCCGGGGGGGCGGCGGCATCCATCGCTGCGGGTCGCTGCGGGCCGACGATTGTGGACTGATCGATCGTGGCGGGCGGATTTCGGCTGGGACGTTCTACGGTTAAACCAAGAGCGTCGGCGCCGACACGAGAGACTTATAAGGGTAGAGAGTACGTACATCAAAAGCGGCGAACGAGGCACGGTCGCTCTCCGACATGAGGCGCGTTGCACTTGCCAGTGCTGCCCTGGCCTTCTGTCTGCCCGCCAAATGGGTGGCAGGTGCCTCTGCTGCTGTGGCATGCCTCACGGCTGCGACTGGCCGGCGCCTCGGCGCGTCAGCTCGGCTCGGCGTAGCGATCGTGGCCAGCGCAACTTGCCTGGACTCAACGCTCAGCCAGGAGCTCCCGCACGCGCTGGCGCGAGGCATGGCGCATGCAACGCGCAGCAATGCTCGCCTCGCCTCGCGCAAATGCGACCGTCCTCGCAGCCGACAGTCCACCGCCTGCTACAGAAGCACTGCGACGAATGCGGCACCGGCGACGCATGGCAGGCTGGTCATGACGCAGTTATAGGGTGTTGTGTGCCGTCAGAGTGACTCTCTGTGTGTCAGGGATAGTCAGGGCCGTCCATCAGAGCTCCAGTAAGCTCGGAGACACCCCATTAGCGCGGCTCGACCTCTTTGAGTCACTGCCTTCCCGCGGTTTTGCTGTAGAGCCTCTACAACAAACTCTACAACAAAATCGCGCTCTACATCGCTCTACAACGCAGGCGCTTCGTCCCGCGGCGGATGTAGAGCTCTACAGCTCTACAGCGCTCTACAGCTCTACAGCTCTACAGCGCTCTACACTCTACATCCTCTACACCCTCCCTCAGTGAGGCTGCTTGCTTGCAGAAATGTAAGCCGCAAAAATGTAGTTAATTGAGGAGAAAGAAGGTCGTGGACGCAGGAAGGACGGATTCAGATCCCTCTATCTATGAAATTTCTCCCACCAAGTACGTCTCTCCAAGTAAGCTAAAGATACTTGGACGAGAAGGCCGTCCGTGGGTGGTCCACGCCCTCGAAAAACCGAAAACCTTTCGGTCTACCCAGCGGAGCGAAGCTCGTGCCGGCACTTCCTCTTTCAGTCAGTCAGTCAGGGTCGATTTGCTTGCCAGGAGCATGCTCCAGTCGGTCGGTGAATCTACTGCCTGCCGCGAGACGCCAGGGCCCCCGGCGGAGGCGAGAGATGAGTGTTCACGCTTGTGGCATGTGGGTGTCGATCGAGCTGCAAGTTCTTCGCACAACACTGACAAACAAAGTGAGTGTGTTAGATTTGTTTGGTCTTAAAAATCTCTCTCTCAACACTGGGTTCGGGAGGCTCCGCCGGCGCGGCGGCGAGGCAAGAATTCCAAACAAATTCCGCCCATATAAGAAGCCCGAACCTGGCACGTGACGAGATCGATCTCTCTCTCTCTCTCCCTCTCTCTCTCTCTCTCTCTCTCTCTCTCTCTCTCTCTTCGCTCCCTATCGCGTTCAAGATGACAGGCCTGGCGTACTTCATATACGCTCTCAAGTGGGGATTCACGACCTACAACGGGCTCGGCCTCTTCGCTCTCAGCCTTCTCTCCCGATCGGACGCCTCCGCTCCGGCCTCCCACGCACGAGCAGTCTTGCTGTGCACCACACTTGGCGTAGCATCCTCCTTCACCACAGCCTGGATTATGGATCGCACAGCTTTCCCGCGGATAGCCAAGCGTCTCGATTTGACGCTGGCGCAGTTCCACGTCGCAAACCTCGTGGTTCACTTGCTGCCTTGCGCTCTCGTCACCCGCTGGGAGCACGCGCCTCTTGCGGCGTGGCACGGCGCCGCGGCGGCGCTGATGCACTGTCTCTGGGGCAGCATTGTCTCGCGAGGGACAATGTGCCTGGACGACATTTATGTGCCTCTACCTCGAGCCTCCTGGCGCCTCCTGTGGGCGGTGGCGCTGCTCACTGAGCTGTCGGTGCCCGCCCTTGCGCCACGCGTGTGATACGGTCGACGTTGAGTATGCATCGTTAAACATTACACGAGAGTTGTGAGGCGAGCCGTCGGCCGGCGGCGCGTGTGAGACTAGAGGTGTGTGACGGCGCGCGCGCGACACGCAACTCGCGCAAGATCATCCGCTCTCGGTCTCGCGGCTGCGCGTCTAACACCGGAACCGGCGCTCCCACCTCTCCCTCTCGCATCTCGCATGCGGAGAGAGATGTGGTCTCTCGCGGCGCATCCCAAGCCCTCCGCGCAATTATACGGCACTCTTGGGAGGGAGCCGCGGCGCCCGGGGATGGCCAGCCCGCGACGGGGGGGGGGCGGCGCATGCGCGCA